CATCAATTTTCGCATTCCTACCTTACTTTACCCACAAAAAATATATTTAATTTTTTTATATTTTTTTTAATAATTATAAGAGTATTTGTGTGGTATAATTTATATTATAACATTGTTATTGTTGTGGGTGTTTGATTTGCGAAATTATAGACTTGTTTTTTGTGTAGATTACAAGATTTGTGGTGAACTAGTGATCTATTTGAGCAGTTATGATTTTAATGTGTTTCATATGATTTAAACTTAAAATAATTGTTTGTATTTGTGTAACAATTATAATGGATTGATGTTCATGATTTTTTATGTTTTATTGTAATTGTTGTTGTAGTTGTTTTAGATTTTAGTGTTATTGATTTATTGTGTTGTTAAATTGGTGCATGTTATTTAATTGAATTGTTAAAATGATCCAAAAATTAATAGTTACAAAAGTGTTTACCCGATTTCCTACGCGACTTCCTACCCAATTATTCGGGTAGGAATACCACTCCTGATCGGATAGGGTAGGCCAAAAAAAAATTCTTCCGCAAAATATCGGGTAGAAAGACGAAAGACAATATTTTCTACCTGTAAGATAGGGTGAACACCCCTACTTATTTACATACCAATATATTTTTTATCGTGTAAACCAATAAAACTAGTAACAATTACTAATTCATTACTTCTACTTTATGTTTCGAGCACTCGAATTGATTTTGTTATGAGAAAGATTAAGTAAATTATTTATACTATTAATTAAAAATAATATGTTACCATTAATTTAATACAATATCTAATTAGTTATTAAGTGCTTTGAAAAGTGAAAAAATTCACTTAAAAAAATATAAAATGCCTCAGATCTGTCGCTTTAAGCCTCAAGCCGGCCATGATTAGCTTCTATGAAATTTTAACTAATTTGTAAAAATATAATAGATAGGATGAATTACATTGAGACCCCCTCAATTTTTGTGAAATAAAACGAAAACCTCTTGGCATTTAAGAAATGATACAGAAACCACTCTATAGTTTTTTTATATGATTTTCCACAGTTGAATTTGTATATAATCTTCTAATGGTGAAAATTTAATAAGCAATTTCAGTACCCAACTAAAGCAGCTCAATAACCACACCAGGCTACTAACATTTGACGTGTTATCTGTTGGGCCTAGTAAGTTCAAAAAATAAAAAAAAAATGTTGGGGCTGGGATGCCAATTTTACGGCACGAATTCGAAACCATACGAAATGAAATAAAAAATGATATGATGAACTAAGAGGATTTATTTGAAAGGGAATAACACGTTTGGCCGGTATTAAAAACAAAAAATGAGCATTTTATTATTTTTAAAATTTCTTTATATGATACTGAATGAACTGTTTTACAATTAAATATTTTTTTTTAACACGAATATGATACAAATCAAAATGACACGACTTAAAAATAAGACATACGACACTAATACGCTGTTAGCTAGGGGGGGGGGGGGGGGGGGCAGATAAGTTTGATTTCATCGGCATAATTCGGGACAGTAACTTTGGCTTTTAATGCTGAATAGCCTTGAGAGATTTTTCCATCTCGCAAATAAAATTTTCAAGTATTTTGAATTTCATGAGTCTGCCTTTCTTCTTCCTTGAAAGCTCCATTGCAATAATTTATGGGCTTTGCTACGCTGCCCAAATGGTATACCAAATGGGTTATCAAATAATTTATACAATTTACCCTCTATACTTCAATTATTATAGTAGCTACTCCTAGTCTTTGGAAATATTATTTTATCCTATAAAATGCTTTTCCAGTTGGCTTTTAAGTTTTTGAGCTTTATGTTTTCTATAATTTATCTTCCAAATTAGCAATCTAATTTGAAGACCAACTACTCTGAAGTTAAATACGGTTGCTGGCCTTGATTCTAGTTCGTGTTTTTGGTGTTCTAATGTTTCAATCTCTCTTTGTAATACAATCAAATTATGATAAAGCTTGTCTCTAATTTATAACATGCAAATAATTGAAGAGCTACTTAGGTAAATAATCAAAACCGCATATGCCTTTCAGGTTCCACCTCACTTCCTTCTTCTTCACCTTTACTTCTTGAAGTCTACTACCCATTTCTGTTCTGTATCTCAAGCGAGATTTTAGATATTAGGACTTGTCTTCGAACTACTGGAACAATCTACACGGCACCTCCTGGCCTTTAACAGTTTCTTTTATTCTCACAACAGCCCAGTGATCTTTATCTCTCCTTTGATATAGAGGAAAGACATAGTAAGGCTATTGGAAATGACAATTGAAGAAAGATATAAACTGTAAGGGGTTTTCTTCTTCTTCCCCTCCACGGAAGGTTTTTGGCCAACCTGCGCTGAGTCCTCCCGTAACTTTTTATCTCTAGTCCCACGTCGGGAAAGACTCGTCTCCCCCCTGCCATATAAGTGAACATTTAGTATGGAGGAGGTACCTCCTAGCCACCTAGTAAGTGTTCACTTATATGGCAGGGAGGGAGACGACTCTCTCCCGACGTGAGACAAGAGGTAAAAGACTACTGGAGGACTCAGCCCAGATCAGCCAAAATCCTTCTGTGCAGGGGAAGAAAACCCCTTACATAAACGAAGACGCGATACTGAAAGGTTTTATTCCATAGAACTAGTAGTGAAGTTATTTTGTGGATCTTCTTTCTTATTCATATAACTATCTAAGAAAAGATGAAGAACTCTGTTTTACAGTTTTGTTTTCTGAACAGGGGAGCTATTATGATTGCAATGTAAAAATCTTGCAATGGTCAAACTGTTGACTCTTGAGCTATGTATATATAGGACATCATTTCGTAATTGATTATATATTTCGTAATTTTGAGCTTTTAAGAAAAGAAATCCATTTTTTCACATATGGTTTTGGCACATATTGTAATTGCCCATCTATATCCATACAGTAGCAGTAGTTTATTTTATTTATTTATTTTTTTTTTTGATGTTTCTTGTAACAAGTATTGTGCCTTTGTTTATACTATAGCTGAAAATGGTCATAGCAAAGAGGGCCCAAACGATCAAGAATTAGATTTACCCTCGTTTGACTTGGCTGCTATATCCATTACTACTAATAACTTTTCAACAAATAACAAACTTGGACAAGATGGTTTTGGTCCAGTTTACAGGGTAAGTTGCATGCAACATGCTAATGACTAGAGGATGTTAAAAGACACTAATTTATTCAAGAATCACTCTTTCTACAATTGGTAATTTTCAGGGCACTTTAATAGTTGGTCAAGAAATTGCTGTGAACAGACTTTCAAAAAGTTCAAGACAAGGATTGACGGAGTTAAAAAATGAAGTAATACTGATTGCCAAATTTCAACACCAAAATCTTGTAAAGCTTCTTGGTTATTGCAATCAAGGAGAAGAGAAAATGTTGATTTATGAATACTTGCCCAACAAAGCTTGGACTCTTATATTTTTGGTTTGAATCTCAAAAACTAACAACTTTCAAGTAAAATAGTGCATTTATTGTTTTCGAAAGTTTAATGCCTCTAATTGGTTGTTATGAGAGAATAGACTAATTTGATACATGGAAAAAATTACCAGATGGAACAAGAGGTAAAATTTTAAAATGGCCAAAACGCTTTCACATCATATGCGGAATTGTTCAAGGGCTTCTCTTCCTTCACCAAGATTCAAGATTGAGAATTTTTCACAAAAATCTCAAAGCAAGTAATGTGTTACTTGATAATGAGTTGAACCCGAAAATATCAGATTTTGAGATGACTAGAATTTTTGGAGATCAAAGTGAAGGAAATACTAATAAAGTGATTGGACATAGCATGTCTAATTGTCTATGAACCTTTTTTTTTTTTTTTTTGATTGCTGGAATACTATGATCTCTTTTAACATGTTTGACGTTTAGTTGAGGGCTCACCAGTCACCACCACAAGAGTTGGGACAGACAATTTAGATTTCCAAGTCAATTTGGCTTGTAACGCTGAAAAGTCTTGACAGATTATTCTGTCTGGCAAACAAATTCTTCAAGTCTTTCGACTTTCATGAGTCTGTCTTTCTTCCTCCTCGAAAGTTCCATTTCAACCATTCATTCACCCACGGAAAAAGACACTGTAGTGAAGCCTTTGTGATACTGCTTTCCTATGCCTGGAGGATGAGGGTATTGAAGCCCCAGCTCGGGTGGTCCAGTTCACTGGTTTAATTTCCTCCTCTTGTGGGATACTTGTGTGTTGTGTACAAGTCAAAAATGTGTGTTTTCTAACTCATTCTACCAAATTACACCAAAATATAGCCTTTTTCTCTTAACTTGCAAGGGATTATCAAAGATTAGAGAACATTAGAGATCATCAAAATGAGCAGTCTTTTGTTTGTTCAATTTTATGTTTGCTTTTGTTGTTTATTATCGAAAACCTCTGCTTTAACTGATACTATCACTCCAACCTTATCTCTTAGTGACGGCAAGACCTTAGTTTCAAAACATGGAAAATTTGAACTGGGTTTTTTCAGTCCAGGCAGTTCCAAGAACCGGTACTTGGGAATTTGGTACAAGAATATCCGAGTTACAACTGTTGTTTGGGTGGCCAACAGAGAAAGACCAATTAAAGATCTCTCCGGCACATTCATGGTCAACAGCTCGGGCAATCTTCTTCTTGTCAATAGCCCTAATGGTGTTGTTTGGTCATCAAATTCATCGGGACAAGTCCAGAATCCAGTCACACAGCTTTTAGATTCTGGAAATCTTGTCATTAAAGAAGAGAAAGATGTAAATTCAGAAGCATATGTGTGGCAGAGCTTTGATTATCCATGTGATACATTGTTACCAGGTATGAAGCTTGGATGGGACTTAAAGGTTGGTCTGAACAGGCGGCTATCTTCATGGAAGAATTCCGAAGACCCTTCACCTGGAGACCTAACTTTAGGCATAGAACTTCATGAATATCCTGAGGGAGTCATCCGGAAGGGCTCAACAAAGTACTTTCGAACTGGCCCCTGGAATGGCATTCGAATTAGTGGCACACCTAACTTAAAGTCCAATTCCTTGTATTCATTAAATTTTATCTCTAATGAGGAGGAGGTGTACTACACCTATCAGTTCTATAATGAATCTATAATCGGAAGCCTTGTTTTGAACCAAACCACCTCCTTGGTGGAGCGCCATATATGGTTGGAAGCTGAACAGATCTGGAAGACTGTTTCATCAAGACCGCAAGACTATTGTGACGATTATGGTGCTTGTGGCGCCAACGGATTATGCAACATCCTTGCCACACCTGTTTGCCAATGTTTGATAGGATTCAAGCCAAAATCACCGGACAGATGGAAGTCGATTGACACGTCACAGGGATGCATACGCAATAAGCCTTTGGACTGCAAAAGTACGGAAGGCTTTAATAAATTTGTAAACTTAAAATTGCCAGATACTACTAATAGTTGGGTGAACAAAAGTATGAACCTTAGTGAATGCAGGGAGAAGTGCTTAAACGATTGCTCTTGCATGGCTTATACAAATTCGGATATTAGAGGAACTGGTAGTGGTTGTGCACTATGGTTTGGTGATCTGATTGATATCAGACAGTTCCCCACTGACGGAGGCGATCTATATATAAGAATGTCTGCTTCAAGCTTAGGTATCTGTCTTTCTTTTATTTTTTCTGCTCTTTCATGTGCTTTTTTATTTTTTCTGCGTAAATGTGACTGTTTGCTTCCAGAAGGGACAAAGAATGGGACTACAGGGAAGTCGGATCCTGGAGAGGCAAAAGATGGTACCAAATGGATCATACCAGTTACTGTTGTAGTCCCCATTGCAGTAATTTCTGGGATAATTCTTGTCATCTATTACAATTGGAAGGGCAGGACAACAACAAAAGGTAAAATCTTAAACTACTAACATGCTCGTTCCCACATGCAAATTAGAAGACATTAATAGGTATATGCTTTAAAAGTTTTGTTTTCTGAACTGGGAAGCATTGTCAAACTAACTTCACATTGTATTTTAAGAACTAAATAAATTTACAGACATTCAAATAGTACCCTTGGCATAGTAAAACTTCCATACTAGAATTTACTTGAAATTATAACATTCCTTGATGCTATATTTCTAAATTTTTGAGCTTCTAGTGTAGGAAATCCGTGTTTTACATGTATGATTTAACCATTTGTTTACTTATGTTATTTATCCTTGTGGGTGTTCCCTGTAACACGTATTGAAGAAGGGACAGATGAAGATCTAGATTTACCCTCATTTGACTTGTCTACAATATCTATTGCTACTGATAACTTTTCAATAAATAAAAAGCTTGGAGAAGGTGGATTTGGACCTGTTTACAAGGTAAGCTGCTAATGACCATAGGTTGCAACGAAACACTAGATTTATTTGAGAATACCAATCTTTCAACATTTGGTGATTTTTCAGGGAATTTTAGTGGATGGCCAAGAAATTGCTGTAAAGAGACTTTCAAAGAGTTCTAGACAAGGCTTGATTGAGTTCAAGAATGAAGTGATACTAATCGCCAAACTTCAACATCGAAATCTCGTAAAGCTTCTTGGGTATTGCAATCAAGGAGAGGAGAGAATGTTGATTTATGAATACTTGTCTAACAAAAGCCTGGACTACTATATTTTTGGTTAGAATCTTAAAAAACAAACAACTTTAAGTAGATTGGTACATTTCTTCTTTTTTTAGGATTTAATGTCTTTGACTTTTTGTTGTGTGTACCGAAGTTGGAGCAAAGACTAATTTGATAAATGAAAAAATATTAACAGATGAAACAAGAGGTAAATTGTTAAATTGGTCAAAGCGTTTTCACATCCTTCGCGGAATTGCTCGAGGGCTTCTCTACCTTCATCAAGATTCGAGACTAAGAATTATTCATAGAGATCTCAAAACAAGTAATGTGTTACTTGATAATGAGCTAAACCCGAAAATTTCTGACTTTGGGTTAGCTAGAATTTTTGGAGATCAGGGTGAAGAAAATACAACGAGAGTGGTTGGGACATAGTATGTCTACAAACCCATTTTTATTCTCTATAACACCATAATATACTTATATGTGTTTTGACTTTTGATGATGTTATGCAGTGGTTATATGGCACCAGAATATGCTATTTATGGAATGTTCTCGGTAAAATCTGATGTTTTCAGTTTTGGTGTTCTTCTATTGGAGATATTAAGCGGGAAGAAGAGCAGAGGGCACCATTTTATTCTTATTGAACTCGTAAGTGTTGAGAATATAATATTTATATAGGTTCCTTGTTGTAAAATATTGAATCACAACGTGAGCTTAATCTTGTTATAGGCGTGGAAATTGTGGACGGAAGAGAGGGCACTTGAACTGATCGATATATCAGTTAAGGACTCGTGCAATTTACCTGAGATATTCAGATGCATCCATGTGGGTCTCTTGTGTGTGCAACAGCTTCCAGATGACCGGCCGGACATGTTATCGGTGGTTCTGATGTTGAGTGGTGAGAGTGCATTGCCTCAGCCAAAGCAGCCTGGTTTCTTGATAGAAGTACAGAATGAAGCTCATCCCTCATCAAGCAAGCATGAATCTTGTTCAGCAAATGGTATGACTATTACATTGTTGGAGGCTCGTTAACAGATTTCCATGTTGTTGCCACATAATGAACTGATCAATAATGTCAAAAGAATCGGACGAGGCTGACACATTCAGTCGCATCACGTTTAATTCGCGACATTTTCAATTTCAATACATTTTCATTCATTGTCTGAAAATCATTTTGTCACGGTGTTTTGATACATCTCAATGTTGTCCGAGTCGAGCATTCTTGAACCATATGTTAAGACAGAAAAGGGATAACATTTTGTCAATATATATGACTTTGTGGGCAAAGGCAACAAAATTGCACGTGATTGGGGTGTGGTACAGGCAACTAATTTTCACAAGTAAATTACATTTTACTCCCTTGAATTATTACCCTTATTTCATTTTATACCCTTAACTATAAAATTTCTCACATTGTACCCTAAAGTATTAATTTTAGTTATATCACTTTAATAGATAATGACAAATTTAAAAATCTTTCAAAGCCAAAAAATTTTCTTCCAAATGTCTAGTACTATTTTATTTTACCATTTTTGCAACTAAATGATTACTGGAAAAAATAAAAAAATAAATAAAAAAGGTCGACCAGAGGAAAAAAAATTTTGAGCTTAGGAAGGACAAAGTCATAGATAGGTATTTTTCTTAATTTTTGACCTACACATATTCAATAAACAGTTGCTTATTGATAGTACAAACTACTCACATGTGCATTTACCGTCAAAAAAAATTGACATTCGTTTAAAGTGGTATGAAACAAAATTGATATCTTAGGGTGTAATATACGAAATTTTATAATTAAAAGTATAAAATAAAACAAGAGTAATTGTTTAAGAAGGTCAAATGTAATTTATCCTTCTTTCTTTTTCATTTGTTTTTTCCCACTAATAACGGAGATTTGGTCGGTCAGCAACCAATGGTGTGTCATCTTACCCTTGTCCCTACCAAAAAGACTAGCAAAAGTCGAACAATTGAAGCCAAAAAGGTATGAACCTCTGGACTTTTAACAGTGTTTGGTTAACTTCTTGTGTGATCCAGTCTCGTCAGGTCTCTGACTGGTCAAATCCACTATGAATCTGATTGGTCCTTTCCCATTCCTGTCCATATTAAAACCAAAATTCTAAACAACCTGCCAAAATAATTTAGATGGAAAGACTTAAAAAGAGTGATTGGCTCGAAATCTCAAGTTAGAATATTAAAAGAAAGCTCCAGTTCAGTTGATAAAATTTATTTTGTTAATGATTGTATATATTTAAAATTTATATAATCGTCTCGAGTTAAAAGACGTGATATGACCTTAGTTTATAATAAAATTTAGAATAAATAAATTGTAGATAATCAATCTCAAAATTTATTTTCGAACTTTAATTCCTGGCGTATCATTTTGAACTATGAATATTTTGGCCGAATCCGGTGTCTTTTAAGTACAAATCACGCATGATTAGAAACACAAGAAAAAAAGAGAACATATTTTGAATACTCTAGTATATGTTACACACAACCAGCATACTACCAATGATTGGTCGGTTAAGTAGTGGGTAAGAATTCAAATTTTTTAGTTCAATATTTGAATTCGAGTTTCTATGACTACGGTAATTCGGTGGGGCTAAACCATCTCTTTAGTGCCCACACGGGGTGAGAAAAATGACATGCGCGTTTTTTTTAGGACTTAAAAGACAGTTAAAAACATAAAAACTATTTTACCCTTGATGAAATAAATAGTTATATTACAAAATGAGCAGTAAAAACAAGACAGTAATAATAACAGCGACACAATAACAACAAGACAGTAACAAGAATAGTAACAAGAATAGTAACAAGGACACAATAACAATTAAAGTAACAACAAGAACAGTAATAATAACAAAGACACAACAAGACAATAATAATAGCAAAGACACAATAACAATAATAATAGCAAAGACACAATAACAATATCACCAATTAGAATATTAAGAGAAAGCTCGAGTTTAATTTATAAAACTCATTTTGTGAATGATTGTAAATATTTAAAATTTATATAATTGTCACGAGGTAAAACCATTCATATTACATTGTATTTTCAATCACAGATTAACACAATCTTAAAATTAATTTCAAACTTGAATTCATGAGATAACATTTTGAATTATGAATATTATGTCTAAATTCAATCTCTTTATGTTCAAATCACATGTGATAGAAGCACAAAAAAAAAAAGAGCATATTTTGAATACTATAGCATATGTCCACACTGAAGCAACATATTACCGTCGATTGGTTGGTTCAATGGGTAAAAACTCAAATTTTATCGGTCAATACTTAAATTCGAATCTTTATATCTACAACAACTCAATGAGGGCTAAACTAACTCTTTAGTGCTCAAAATACGAAGTGAGACCTTAGTTTCGATCTCAATAAATATGCAGTAAGATTTTCTACAAATAACTATACTGTATTAAGAGACAATATTTTTTGCCAATATGTGGAGCCACTTATCTCAAGCTCTTACCATCATTAAAAGGCTACATAGCCATTGCCTAGAGTTGTCCATTAGAACGACAAAAGATGATGGGCGTGACAAAAATATATCATCATTCTACAAGGCAAAAATATATTATTATTTCCAAGTCAATCTCTCTAAACGACACTGTTACATTTCACAGCCTCTAGAGTGTTCGTGGGGTCGAATTGTCTACAGGTCTTGTTATTCAACCCAAAAAAATAAGTTTAAAATTTAATAATTGATATGTTTGAACCCAATATCTTTCAAGAGATGACTTGGGTCTACCGCAAACCCATTATCCAACCCAAAAACTCGGCCCAATAACCCGCCCTAAAAAAACCAGTTAAATTCCTACCCAAGAATCTGTCTACCCAACCCAATCAAAACATGAAAAAAAGTCCCTCAATACTAGATTTCGAAGTTTTAGAAATTTAGATATTATAAATAATGCATTCTTTTCTTTTTCATGTATTAAACATAAACGCTTAAAATGTAGAGTTGTGCAAATGATAGATAGGTGAGTAGGTGTCAACCTAGTTGAGATGCGTTCATTCTATTGTAATGCAGTTCCTCTCTCTATTTATAAATAAAATGATTCTTTAAAAATCGATACACGAAATTAGACTTAATTGTTAAAAAGTACAAAAAGAAAAAAAATTTTGTAAAAAAATTCACTTAATACCTACATTTTATTATCTCCACATTACCAAGTGTGTTAGTCACTCACACCTCTTCATATATATATATATATATATATATATATATATATATATATATATATATATATAGAGAGAGAGAGAGAGAGAGGAGTTTTAATAAAACAAAAACTTAAAATTTAGG